TTCTATTGACGTTATATTTTTAAAACTCAAAGATAGTGGACTGGGAAGAGGGAGGTGGAATATGGTCCAAGCCAGCTCTGAAATGCAGGGAGCCATCAGACTGACCAGGTGGCATTGCCCTCTCACTGATCAGGTGGAGCACCCTCTGAAATAATGAGCAAAAGCTTTCTAGCTATTGGGCAGGACTGCCCTGGACGTCAGGGTAGTGTGTACCTATAGGACTACACTGGACCACTTGGTGACTCTCCGTGTAAGAATCCTTTTCCTGAATCCTTTCTAAGGCAGCCAATTCCTGCCTTGCTCTGCTGACTGTGGCTCTAGTGAAGAGCTGTATCTTCTGGCAGGAATGGGATAGAGTACCCTGACCACCTACAGGGAAGGACCAAGAAAGGGCAGCTATAATGTAACATTTATCCATCCCTGCTTCACATAAGGAATAGCTATCCCATTAATAGTCCGAGAAATAAGGGTATAAATGTATAAAAATAAATTAGGACTATATCTAGGACTATGTGCATGTGGAAAAAAAAAAAAAAAGGCAGGGGAACCCTTTAATTTCCTGTTAACATGAAAAATCTCTCTGTTGGATGCCATTCTATCCTATTTTGCCCTGGAGCTGTACAGGACAAAACAGTTTTGATACCCGTGGTGCCCACTGTATCAAAGAGCATGCATACATATCTTATACAAATTGCCCTGACATAGCTCTGGGAGGAGGAAAATACAATCTCTGTGCAAACAGTGTTCCTTCCTCTGCCTCAGATATCTCTTTAATTCCTACGGGAGCAACTGGGGGGACTGACCCTAACCGTCTCCAGGCCAGTTCTCTTCCCTCTGGATCATGCAGGGGACTTGGCAGCTGGATTTGTTACCCTTAATATTTATCAGGCCTCAAGAAGGCCTGCGACGAGGCTTTGTGCAACAGAGTCCTAAATTATATTCTGTATTGTGACTAGGAAGAAATCTAAAATAAACAGTATAATTTTATACTGTGCTGTGCGTGGCCCACAAATTACAGGAGGAGGTATTACATGAAGAACAATTCATCTCCAAGATTCCAATTACAGGTATGGGGAGAAAACAATATATTTGTGAGAATTTGAAATGCAGAGCAGTTGGCATAGTTTTATTTTAAAATGATAAATATTTTCAGATCGAAGTGCAATTAGTAGTGAAAATGTCATGTAGTTTTATTATGTACGTTTGTTAATATGGCTAGCATAACTCATTTAGGAGATGCCTGCAGTGCAGAGTCCTGTACTGCATATATCATAAGTAAAAATACAGGACTTACACGTATCTATAAAACGTACACAGAGACAACATTGCCAAACAGCCTTTTGGGACAGTTTAAAAGAATATCATTAATTTTTACTGTATACTTACACTTCTGGCTCAGTTCCAGCACTGGCTTTCTGTAAAAATCATTTCAAGTATAGAATTATGCTATTTGCTTGCAGCAACATCACAGGAACAGTAGTGAGCCATATGTTGCTACTTAGCAACTTGGTCTGTAAGTCCCAAAGCATGTACTGATTTGAAAATTGAACAGAAATGATAATTGTTGAGGCATGCTGTGAGGCAACTTGTCTTGGATTACTAATCTATGCAGATGTTTGATGTTATATAGCAAAAGGAATAAAACTGTATTTTTCCTGTCCAATGGCTGAGCTTTTATTTATGTTAGCCTAAAGGGGATAAATTGATTAAAACCCTTAAAATAATATAAGGTGATGTTTTTCTGGATATGAACATTTTGCAGTAAACTGAAAGAACAGAAGTGCATGTCAGCATGCATCAGGACCCTCAAAATCCTGTCCGTACAGTCACATAATCCTTAAGACAGCCTAATGAAAACCGCTCAGTCTTTGGTGGTGCATACCATGACTGTTTGCCTACCTACTTCCTAAATAAGCTGTGTCAGATTCTGAAATTAGAAAATGATGCTCACGTCTGACTCAGTGAGCATGACCAATCAAAGCTAGAATAAAAGTTTCTGATAGAACCATGCATCTCATAACATGTGGGATTCATATTTTAGTTAACAGATGTGCATCCATCAAGGAAAGTGGAAAAATGAATTCACTCCTCAGTCTGTCAAGATTCAAACCCTCATCTCTGATCTTGCCAAGTTACTGAGGGTGGGAAGGAGCCTGCACTCCTCTTGCTGAGGTCAAGCAACTGCAAGGCTCATGAGAACAGATGCAAAATGGACACAGGAGAAAGCTCTATGGATGAAGCGACTAGACTTTCATCTGGGAGACAACATTTTCTCATCTCTTTTTATGGCATTATTTGTTTTACTTCCACTAACAGTGAAAGGAAAATGAACAAACAGTCCTGAAAACAGGGACCAGAAAATACAGTCCCATCCTTTCCTCTTCCTCCCCAGTAAGCTGTAGAACCTTTCACATTTTGTTTTCAGAGCAGTGAATATCATATTCTCTCCAATTTTAACAAGTAGAGTGGATGTTGAAACAGTAGCCAGTTCACCAGTTTTGGGTGACCACCAAATGTTTATGCCTGAGATAGATAGGAATGGTGCCCCATTACAGTTGGTGAAGACCTCACCAGTACTTTCAATGGACAGCTGCTTAGTTCCTTTGAGGAATGACTAGCAGCTATCTACATCAGGAACAGGTTTAGGAGGGCTTCTCTTACAGTCCCAGGTTCTCGCTGAAACAAGAGAGAGGCAGGTTTCCAACACACCCTGGCTTCCTGCTCCTAGTGTGGATTTTTGTCCCCTTTTTAAAAAAATATCGTTATGATTACAGGCTTTCACATATATTCAGTTAAAACCCCACTGCAATGGTGTGAGTGGCAGGAGAGAATCACAGTAAGGGTGAGGAAGGTTTGGCAGCCCAAGGCTGACAGCTCCTCTCAAACAGGCACAGGGGGCTGTTTGACCCATGTGCACTTGGTAAAATACTGTGCCTGTCAATGGCGCTTGCCAGATCCCCCAGCACAGGACAGAGAGTTTTGACACCTGCCTCTGGGTTTTGAACCTACCTGGGAGCCAGGCCCCCAAGAGCTTGGCTTTGCCATAGCTAGGTTTTAAGTCTGTAAGCCCTTTCTTGGTTCCAGCCCCTAGTAAGCATCCAGGGTTTTCTGTCATCTTCGCATTTCGAAATGTCACATTTGATAGATTTTTTTTCCTTGAAGACAAAATCATTTGCACTTAAAATATCTAGGCCTGGATCTTTAAAGGTACTTTAATCACCTTACTTCCACTGAACCCAGTGAGTGTTAGATGCATAAATATCTCCGAGGATCTGGGCCTTGTTAGCACATGTAGAAACCACATAAAAGATTAAAACTTATACTCTTAATTTTTCAATATGCCATTTAAATTATTTAAACCACATGCACACACAGTACAAAAATATCAACAGAAGAAAAATAATTCTGATGTATAATGTAGATTTGCAATTCTTTATTCAAAACTATTTAAGACAGACATAATGATTCTCTGAAAGGTAGCAGCTGCCTTATAACAGCAATCATTCACAGAGTTTGTATTTCTACTGTTTCAAACAAATTCAATTAGCCCTTGCACTTCAAAACCCTTAAGGCATAAATGAGATGATACTAGGCTGCTTTAATCTAATAGTAATACTAAAACTTGTCAGTACAGTTTTGGGATTAATGGTTAGAGAAAAATTAATAATATAATTTTTCATTTTTTAATCAAACAGTTCTATTCTAAACTACCTCTGCATCTTGGAGGGTTCCTAGCTGAATAAGTTCAATCACACACAAATCCTAACCTCAAAGTACAGTTGGTCTCTAAAGGTATTTCAGACTAACTTCCCAGAAGTCTGGGAAGAAACATGGTGGAACATTTTAAAGATGGTCTTTTAGATGGAACAATGCAGCTCATCTCACACAACCTCCTGCTTCCCTGCCCCCAAATGAACCTGTATACCTGAAAAACCTTATTTCATGAAGACATTTAGCTCTGAATGTACTGTCACTTCCCAAAGCTCTTGATTGCTAAATTAAATCCTGCTCATCTACACACATTTGCTATGCATGCAAACTTGATTTCCCACCTCATGAGAGCTCTTCACATAATCCTACTGGCCCTGTCAGGAAGCGGTATATCAGACTAGCCACTCCTGGATCTGCGTTATTGCATGACCTAGACCCCAAGTCTGATTATTCAGGGCAATTTCTAACACAATGTAACAGACCTGCACCACTGTCACCATCGCTTACTAACGTGGGACTGAACTGACCAAAACATGTGAAGTAAATGAAAATTTCTCTCCTGCACACAGATGTAGCTACAGGTAGACAAATCAAAAATTTCAAAGCTATTTTTGGTTTTTAAGAAGTAATTAAAAGATTTTATTCATTCATTCTTAGAAATCTATAGTATGTTAGGGTTCAAGTGGAAAGGGGGAAGATTCTTTAAATATACACTTAGTATCAGAATTCAGTGTTCCCAAAAGGGAAAGGATTCAAAAATATCTGTAAAGAACCTGTATCACATTAAAACTTTTGGGCTGCAGCCTACAGAAGACATTGCCTTAACCCCACTGCTAATCATATAACACTGGCAACATTCCTCAGCCGTTCGATTAGTGTTAAAAATGCAATTCTTCAGCTACAACTGGCCTATGAGTGATAATTAATGCTATTTGTGACATGTGTAGCTTATAATGATTAACTTGTCTGCAGTCAGAGAAACAAATAACGTGCACCTGTAAGGACTTTTAATTCCTGAAGGTAAAACAACTGTTTAGGAAAGATCATGCTGGCAAAACAGCTGCTTGCATTCTGGAGAGGAAACAAGGTAGTATCTTTCAACAAACGCCAACTCTGGTGTTTTATCAGCTCTACCTCATTAACTGGAAACAAGGCTTAAACGCTTTGTTTATAAATTATGATTATTCCTGATTGCAGCAGTTACTGATAGTGCCACTCATTTGCAATGCAACTCTTTGAATTTGTTTAATTACAATTTGAAACAAGGCAGAGAAGATTAATTAACCCACCTGGCTGGCTGGCACATAGTCCTGGCTCGGCTCTGTCATACTCATATACATGTTCTCACTGTCAAACTGCAAAAGAAGTAATAGTAAACATTTAGCAAACTTGAACATTTTTCAGCATTGACTAAAAAAAAACAGTAGCCATAAAATAATATTACAGCCTGGTTTTAGAGACTTGTAATTGCATGTGTGCATCTTGTCTTTGATGTTCCTGTTGTCATCCTTATTGACCCTGTATGTCAGTGATTTGGAGTAATTAGCGCTCTAGTAATTACAGCTAGCGAGCAAGAAATGAATGGTTTCCTTTCATCCGCAATCTGTTTTAAAACAAAATGGCTCATTTTGTGCACCATGTATATATATTGCTGTTGGTTGTAATGAAGTACTAAGTGAATTGCACAGTTACTGAGAAAAGGAAGATGAGAATAGAAACTGCGCTAAAATGCATCTTAATGGATTCCAACTTCAGCTTCTGAACAGAACAAGAGTTGAAATTTTAAAACAAATTAAACCCCCTCCTATTGAAATGTTCCCATATCATAAAGGAAAGATATTTCCAGAAGGCTTTCAGACATCTGAATGCATGAAACAGTATACCTCCCGACTGTATGGCATAAAAGGATAGTTCGCTCGATGTGTGAATAAAACAAACATTCATAATCAGAATTGAAAAAATACCCTTCCATAAATGATAAATACCATTCCTGGAAATGTACACAGAGCTTTTTTTTTTATTTTTATTTTTGGCTTTTCTCCCCTCAGCTGCAGTTAAGAAGTAACAGAAGTGTGACAGAAAGGAGTTGATTAAAATCTGAAGGTCTAGATGGAGGAAAACCGCCAGAACTGAAGCCTCATACTGTACCAACACAAAGAAGTATAAAACTATTGATTTCTTATGTAATCTGGAAAATGTCCCCACAGAACTCTTGTCACACCCGCTCAAGTGGTGGTGCCAACAGGGCAACTATAGTCCCAGTGTCTGCTCAGGAGGTAGGGAAAAATCTTTTCAAACCTTTCAAGTAGAAATGAACAACAGCAGAAAAAACAGTCATCAACCTCAAATTTCCAGCTGTTACGAGGTCTGTTTGAAATAACTTTCACCTGACCCCTCCTGTGAATGCTTAGAGTGACATATTTTGGACATGAGCCATTATTTTTGATGACATGGCAGCTTTTTTACAAAGCCCCACTGTTGAGCTTGCTCTGCACCTACAGAAGGTGGCAGTGAAACATCCCACGGACATTGCTCGATCCGTGCCGAGTTCAGGATATTCTACCTGCACGGTGCAAGTATATTCAACTAGACCAAGGCGGCAAAGTCAAACTATGGATTTGGCAGATAGCTCTACTGGTTTTTGCTGAGGTGGCTCAAAAGGTTTCAGCTTCCAGCTGTTCATCCTCTTTCCAAAAAAAATACAAGGCTTGTAACAGCATTAGTAGAAATGAACAACTGCCAGCTCCTGGCACAACAGTTGATGGTCTGCCTTTCCTGGCCAGAGCTACTTAATAGATCGTCACAGCCTATCTGTCAGAAGTTCTAGTTTCATGGGAGGGAAAAGATTAAGTCACGGGCACAGATCTGCCATAGGGAGTATTTCTGAGGTTTGATGGAACAGAGGTAGTTGGATTAGATAAGGATTGATGCTTTTTTTCTTTATTGTTTCTTATTTACACTTGTCATTTCTTTCACTTTCTCATTCAAGAATATTCCTATTTATTAGCATTCAAAGAAGAGACTGGGGAGAATCTTTTAGTGTCTGGATTGTTTGCACACTGGAAAAAATGCACTGTTTCTTCTGCTCAGATGGACAGGTGAAATTCTGAAGAGAGATTTCACACCCTGCGGTTGGAAACCAAGTGCTCCAGTGCAAGGCCTACAGGAGCTCAACTTACTCTGCTTGTCAGACAAAAGGCTGAAAGGTGCCTTGATCACTGCGATTGGTACTTACACCCTGGAAAGATGTCTGCTAGCAAGATGTCAGCCTTCCTGACAGTGGTATAATGAGATCTAGTGTTGAGAAAGGGGAGTTATAGAAATGCAGTCCTGAACTAAGATACAAGTTCCTACTTTGGAAGGTAATTAAGCTTTATGTCAACAGCAAACTCCTCATTTCTCAGACATTTTAAAATGAAGTTAGATACCTCTTTCAGAAAAGATGCATCCCATACCATATTTATAAGAAATCCTATGGACAGGATAGTTACACTGGCTGGTTATGGTAGTTCTATCTGCCCTGGAAATCATGATTCCTTAAGTCTCCTATTTTGAATTTCCCTCTTTATCTTCATATATTTGCTGCACTACATTGCAAACACTACTCTAATTGAAATAGTATGTTGCATGTGTTTAGGTGCAATGAACATAAAGAAATTTCTTTCCTTTTCTGCATACTAGATACAGTCTAGATACAGTCAGTGGTTATTTCAATTTGTTTTGTTTTCCATAAAACCCAAACCTGTGATTTAAGAATCTTTATGAAGTATACTAGTCTTCCAGTTAACTCCCTCTTTTGGATGTTTGGTCATCTGTCCTTGCTCCCAAGCTTACAATCACCAAATCTGCATTCACAGAAAATTTTCCCTAAGGTATTTTTCCGTGAAACCTGGAAATTTTCATCATTCTGCGTGTTGTTCTTGGATTACATGCCTACCTGATATGTGTCTTGCTACTAGAGGTGCCTCCAGCACTGATAGGATCTTGTATCTTAGCCTTTCCTGTTCACTGCTTGTGGACCTCTACTTAGCTTTGGAATGCTTTTGTTTTACCATGGTCTGTGGGCTTAATGTCAGCATGTATCAGTGAAACCGAAACCCAGTATACCTAAAGAAGTTACCTCATTTGGCTTGGCCTTAAATGAGAAATGACCTTCTGCATCATTTTGGATTGATATGTTAGGAAATATCCTAGAAAAATATATTCATGCATAATGTCTGTATATCCGAGTGACCTGTTAACATCTAAAAATACCTATCAGCTGTTTATTATTTAATTTTGTCAATATTCAAACATGGAATTCAGTCACTGCAGTATTTAGCATCTGCTCGTTAGAAGTATGTGTAAGATGTGTAATACATTGTATGGTTTAATAAGTTTTGATGCAATGTGTATTTTTTGCACTCTTTATATTTGCAGGATGGGGACTAAAATGTATTAGCTGACAACACTGTTACCATCTTAGTATTTGTACTGCATCTACAGATATATAAATTATTATCTGTCCTCAGTCTAGTGCAGTGTGGTGCACGGCTTCTTGGCAGTTCCTAAGATTTTGGATGTGAGCCTGAAAAACACAGTAATCTCAAACAACAAAGCATATACACATGCAATTCTTGCAGTAGGTATTGTCAGGAGATGCCTTCTTCAAGTTGTCAGTGTTTACTAAGATGTTTATAAAATAGTGAAAATATGATTTTTTTTAATACCAAAATTAAACAAAATGTTTACTTCAATGCTGTGTTGTTTATTCATCATCCCCTTTCCCAAATACCAAAGAAAAGTGGAATACAGATGACCTATGATTACCTATACATCCCACCCCAGCAAAAAAAAAATGGTGCACAAGCCTTCAATGACAAGTTCAAGGACACTGATGCAGCGCATTGTATCTGTGCCTGCCTTGGCCAAATGTGACTATCCCACATCAAAACAATAGACTAAGAAAAAAATGCCAATGATTTGATCAGCTGGAAGGTCCTACTTCTGTTTGTTTCCCATGTTTTTCAGAAGCTTCCAGAACAAGCCCCTAACCCCCAGAAATAAATATTGAATCATTTCACCTTTAATACACTGCTTTGTAAGATGCAGGCTCTGCAGCATGTCAACTCTCAACAACTCTCCTCCAGGACAGCTTAACTCATACTACATCCACACTGAATTCAGCTTTACAAGTGAGATGATTTATGCAATAGTAGTTCAAACAACCTATCTGGATCAGACGCTGAGTGAAAAGATCAGCAGATATGACCCAAAGATGCCTCCAACCACCATTTTTTTATTCCAGGTTATACTCTGTGCCTCCAAAATTGTCTTCTTTTACTTATCAACCCCAGGTGTACAAGAAGCTTGTACTCCCTAAGCTTCCCTGACACTCTCTGTGACTGATTTCAGGCAAAGAAACTGCACAAGCATCACTTAACCTGTGGATGATTCATCCAAACAGAACAGATAAAACACAAAGGCAGGCAGTTAAATGAACTGTCTTTTATGAACCTATGTATGATGTATATATATCATACGACATTTCATCTAAAGCTTGCCCAACGTGTCTCCAAGATCCTTCAGTATCATTAAGGGCAGATTTCAAAATCTTTCATTTTAATCTATTAAAAGTGAATGCTAATACAATATTCTGATGTATGATAATAACTACTCCTGACAACATTTCTTTTCATATTAAAGTGCAACTGCATGAGAAGTTTGGGTGAGAGCAAACTAAGAATATGACTGCATTGCAATATGAAAAGATATATAACTGGGAGCTGGGTTTAATATATATTCAGAATTGCATCATAGCCCTTATTTAAATTAGTATTATAAATAAAACATACAGGCCACACAATGGCATGGCCAGTTAGAATCTCCCCTAGAATAACCCTTTGTAAGACAAGTTGTAGTGGTCAGCAACTAACATGCACAAAATAAGCAAGTCCTGTTATTAAAGGCAATTTAAACATACAAGTTAGCAAGGTGATTACAGAAACACTGCAGAAACACTAGCTGACTGTTACTGATGCAAGAGCTATGACAGAGTTCAGCAAATATCCAGAGTGTCAAGGCTGTTTTATCAGGCATGGTTTTACCATGGATTTTAATATGTGTCCTCCCCTCCCCACAGGCTACCTTCTTCTACATCAAGTCACCCTGTTGTTGAGAGAAGTCAGGGTTTATTTTGCTCCTTTTTCAACCAGTTTTCAACTTCTGATGCATATTTCCTTTCTCTTTACACTCGTACATATACGTGCCCTAAGTTCTGCAGGCATACTTGTATTAGATAGAAGAAAAGAAAACAAGCACATGGATCTTTCTTTGAGCTGCTTCTAGTTCATACCAAAGTGCAGCACAGTATAACAGTCCT